GGAGAGAGCCAGCGAGTGGGAGCCGCGGGGAGGGGGGCGCGGGGGGAGGAGAGCTCCAGTCTGGAGAGAACAAGGCGGAGAGCGCAGAAGACAGGCTGCTAGCGGCACAAGGAGCCGCTGCCGTGGCGGCTGGACTCAACCATCCCTACCCACAGAGAGGGGAACGAGGCTGGGCACGGCGCAATTCCAGACCAGCCGGCCTCGGGCCTGGACTCCCCGCGCCGGGCTGCGCTCGCTTCGGCTCCAGCGCCGCGGCGCGCAGGCTGGAGAGGAGACTTGTTGGGCGCCCGGGTGGGGGAAGCCCACGCCGCACGCAGGGGAGGAACCATGCGATCCGACAACTCCGGCGAACTGGAGGGTTGCTGCGGGGGCAGAGGCCGGCCTCCATCTATTGATCTCTCCTTCTTGCTGACCAAGAGGAGCCACCTGCATAACTTAGATCTGAAATGCAGGTGGAGAGAGAGAGGGCAGGGACTCTAACTCCAAGGGAGGAATGGATACATAGTATATACACACACGGACACATATATGCAACCTTTGGAAATTATCTTTAATGAGACGATTATTTGCAAGGACTTGTAAAGGTTTACGAATTTACTGACTTTGAGCTGCATTAGGGTATCCGTACACAAACTTCAAGTTCAGATGAAATTTAAAATGAGGAAGCATCTCTAGAATTGATATTATGGTCTGGTCATGAGAGCCAGCATGTTGGCACACTTTGGGTGAAACTATATGTACAATTCAATGGGTTGTGAAGGAATCTTAAGACAGAAGACACGGTTCTCCCTGATTCTGCAAAAAAGATGAAGCTAGCAGACAGAGAACAGCTCTAGAATAGCAATCGTTGATATAATAAACTGGATTTCAGCCAGTTCCCCCGAATAGAGGAGGCATTCCTGTAATTTCTGAAATATGTGTAAGGCAAGATATTTTAGGGAAGGATGGTACGTTAATAGGAAAACACAGTGAGTGCTAGTTTTCACAAAGGGATATTAAAGGATTCAACATTCTTACACAAAAAGTTTTAGCCTTTTTAAAGACTGGAGGTATGAGGACATGGAAACACCTCACCTCGGTAAAAGGATTATGCCTGCAAATATAATAGTACACCAAGTATGCTCAATACCAGCTCCCTACATCCTGAATGACTGTGATGGGATGGAGAGCCCATGGAGGGATTCCCCACTGCAGATTGCACCCCCACTCCTGTCTTCATTCGGTCAGTCTTCATTCTGTCTCAGTCTTCAAGATCATATAAGTCAACAATTCTACAATTTTGCATATCCCTCCTTTAATTTTATTAGATTCTCCCTCCGCCATGGTCTCTAGGCTACATGAAGCTACTATGATGGACTGAGAAAACAAAGAACGACAATCTTGAAATATAAGCACCAAAGCATGACTTCCTCAGTCTCCCCACAACCTACGCAGAGCAATTGGAGCCACCACCAAAACGCTTCTTTCTCTCATGGAGACAGGAGCTTCCAATATGAGCTGCTGAATTTGCCTCTTTTGGAGCCGCAGTCCTAGCCATGACTCGATTTTTCTCAGTGCAGAGTCCTATCTTGCCTCGGTGTTCTCTAGAGAAAAGACAGAAAGGTTCAATTGCAGGGGAATCCCCAGTGGAACTGTGAATTCTAATCTTTGGGCTGAACAAGGAGGTTGGTGGTGAAGAGAGTCGCCCCCTCTGTGATGTTAAATCAGACCCCAGATGGTATCTGTAACTCAGCAAGTGAACAAAAATGCTTTTCAAGACCCATTAAGTGCTCCAATAGTTCATTTTGAGTTCCTCATCAGGAAAAATTGATCTCCATCAGGAGCTAAGGAGCTGACTTCTCCTTGAGAAACAGTATCTTGTCTTTGCACTGCCATTCCTAATGACTCGTGTCACCAAGAAGGATTTCTGCCATTAAAAAACGTTTCCCAAATCTAACCATCCTGGGGTAGAACTCTGAGATGATTTTCGCTTTACTAGGATCCCAATCAGTCGGGTTGAGTGTCACCTGGGAAACTGAACCCCTTCACACATGGTTGTGACAGGCTCCAGGCTGAACTTCCCCTGTTTGTGCTCTGCTGGCAAACCTCTCATGCCACCTCCATCCTCCAGAGTGCAGGGAATCTATTTGAGTCACATCATTGAAAAATAATGGTCCCAATAACCAGAAAACACTCATTTTTGCTATTATTTATAGAGGGCATTTTCTTTGGCCAAGTCATATATTAGAGTTACGATGATTCTTGCTAAATTGTTTCTTGATCACAAGTATGAGTAGGGTGGGAAGCAACTGTCAAATAAAATAGGCTGATTTTGTAATGTAGCTGTATTTGTGTGTTAATACTGCAGCCCCCCTCCACCCCCCCAAGACCTCAAGGCTGGTTTAATTTAAAAGGAAAACATGGGGCACTGCTGCCATCTAGTGTCAACAATTTCTTGCTTGGGTTTTGCAGGGAGATCCATAGTCCCTGGATTTTAACCTCTTTTACCTCATCTCTGAATCCCTGTCTTCGTTTTGAATTTACTCAGGAATACTCTTGCCCCCTTTCTGTGAGCGGTTTGTAAGTGAAGTGTATTAGTAGGTTACTGCAGGCTCCTCCTTCCCTTTGGTTTTTAAGTGATTGTGAAAGCCTTGATCTACATCAGAAGTCTAGTGCCTGTTACTTAGAACAGGATTAACCACATGGGATAAGAGCCCAGGACCCTGGGACATCACACCAAGCAGCTCTGTGGTCACATCTTTGCTATGACCTGTGCTGCTGGGAATATTTTATTTCTGCCCTTAGGATTCGTCTCCATTCCCCAATATGGGCATCACAGCCTGTACAGCCTCAATATCTGACTCAGCAACACTGGAAATACTCTTGGAATTTAGGGCCAACCAGAGAACTGAGCAGCATGATGATTAAAGGTGAAGAGCCACTGATGTGCTAGAAAAGATGAAGACATCCTTAGAATCAGGTAGCAACTAACTTAAGACACATTTGGAGAGGCGACAACATAAACATCTGAAAAGTCCAGCAGCTGAAGAGGGAGAGTGTATTTTAAATGAAATTGCCTGCTGGATGTGGTGGCTCATGCCTGTCATCCCAGCACTTTGCGAGGAAGAGGCAGGAGGATTGTTTAAGCCCAAGGGTTCAAACCTGGGCAGCTTGGCGAGACCTCATCACTACAATAAATCAAACAATTAGACAGGCGTGGTGGCACATGCCCGTAGTTCGAACTATTTGGAAGGCTGAGGCAGAAGAATTGCCCGAGCCCAGCAGGTCGAGGCTGTGGTGGCCATGAGCCTACCACTGCACGCCAGCCTGGATGACAGTAAGATTCCTAATCAGAAATAAATAGATAAATAAATAAATAAAATTATCTGAGGAGGGGACAGAAAATATGAACATGATACCTGATATAAAATTAGATTTTTTAAAAAAGTGCACAAATGAGAATGCTTGATACCTGAGATAAAATTAGATTTTTTTTTAAAAAATGCACAAATAAGAATGTGAATGAACTAGAAACACTGTACACGTGTGAACATCCTAAAGAATATGTGCTGTTGTCATGATGGCTAAATGTGACATTGTTTGGCTTATTGAATGCCATGTACAAAAAAATCTGATGACAACTAAAGAACTTTTTTTTTCCTTTGGTAGAGAGGTCGATGTTATGGCCACATAATCCATGTTTCCTTCAATGCAGTATCTATCTTGGGAGAGCAAAATGTACGAGGGAATGTAGGAATAAATGGAAAGTCATTACAATCACTTGTATGCAAAGGCATGTTTGCTTGTATTACCCAACTTCCAATGATGAGGAAATGGTGCCTTTGAGAAATCAAGCAGTGTGTCATAGATCACATCCTACTAAGGGCCAAAATGTGAGGCACAGATCTTTTGCTGTATCAACATTGAAAAACCATCCCTCCTGCCCTTCCCTGACTGCAGACTGCACACCTGAACCCCAAGGCTCTTACCTTCGCGGCCTTTTGTGCTCCTGGGATGGCTTTACAAAAGAACAGAGAGGCAGACATCTATAGAATGCTCCACTCAATGGCAGCAGAATACACGTTCTATTCAAGGGCACATGGAACTCTCTCCAGGATAGATCATTGTTAGACTGTTGAAGAAGAAAAAGAGGAGGAGGAGGAGGAGAAAACAGCCTATGGCCATTTGCCAATATTCATTCATGTAAATCTGGACTTTTATTCTCATTAACTGGCTTCATAAGTACATGTTAAACATTTTCCCATATTTTACAAATGAATCAACATCTTTAACATATATATGTGTATGTATGTGTGTATCTATATACATATATACATATATAAATATATATTTAGAATATAGCACACTAACCTGCTTAAAAAATACAAATAAATAATATAAATAAATAAATAAAGTGAAGTCAGAGAAAAACCCACATTATAAATGATCCATTGAGAGCATGAGAAAATTGTCAACTCTCTTCTTTCACAATAAGGTGACCTAACAGAAGACACACAAAGCAAACTGCAGCTCTGCTGTGCATCACAATGACCTGAAAGACTTGTTGAAACACAGATTGCTGAGTATCTGATGTGGCATATCTGGGAGGGTACTCAAGGATGTACATTTCTAACAAGCTTCAAGTTGACCTTGATGTGTCCCAGGACCATGCTGTGAGAACCACTGCTATAGCAGTTTGACTCTGGAGTCAAAAGGACCTGCATTGATTCCCACATATGCCATTTTCTAGACAGGGGCCCTTCAGGGCAACAACTTAATCTAAGTGTAAGTCTCCTCATCTGAAATGTAGCTAATGAAATCTATCTCACAGACTTGTTGGGAAAAACCAAGTGATATAGGCACAATGCCTAATATATAGTAAATCCTCCAAAATATTATTTTCCTTTTCTATCCAGCCAATCTCTGAAAGGGAAGAGA